GGTGGGCTCGGCAGAGATGGTGGTGGGCGGCAATGGACTGGGCAGGGATTGTGGTGGTCGGCAGTGGGCTGGGCAGGGATGGTGATACCAGTAAGGGTAGTTTAGACATTTCAATATGAGAGTCAACACCCACTAAAAATAAGGAAAAGTCAAACCGGGAAGTTTAATTCCGGACGGATTGAGTAATAATCTATATGTTAAAGACAAATCAAACAAGATCACACATGACTATATTTAGGCTTACACATTGAGAGAATTTGATGAGTCAAAGTGCTTAAATGAACAGTTCGAAAAGTCAAAAGTGGACAAAAACTGGGGGACGGAGGGAGTAGTTCACAAACTTTACAAACTTGCTTTTCTGAATTTTAAATTAAAACATCTTTTATTATTATTTGAGTGCATCTTATTTTTAGGAAAGTGTTAAAAAGATAAGTTTCTAAATTTTGTGAACGGTTTGTTTATGACTCTAGCATTACTCGACAAATAATACTCCCTATTCTAAAATTTCTTTTCGGTGTGGCTGGAATGAAGTAAATAGTATAGATAAAAAAAATGGGGTATAATGATATATTCATTAAAAGTTTTTTATCAAAATAAAAATTAAGAATGAGATTTTTGGACGGCACAAAAAAATGTGACACAAATTAATAGACGGAGAGAGAACTAAAAATCGACCATTAATGGTTTGTTGAGTGTGTTGCTTTGATCCAATTAAATATGTACGGCATATAATATAAACTTTCATACATATTTTCTATGAATTTGTAGTTGTTCTCTTTATTTGTACAAGTTTTTACAAGACTTTTTACATAAAATTGTTTTAAAGGTGAAAGTCTATAAAATAAGCAGGAATTTGAGGGGAAAAAATTTCTTTTTCTTAGTTATGATTAGTGGAGAAAACTAAAACTATCTCCTATGGAGAAATCAAATGCTAAAATATAGAAGTTTCACATATTCCTATACTACAACTTGATCTCCAATGTGTGTGCTATTGTCCGGTCCGGCCCATTAGACCGTAACCTGCTTCGAACCGGCCCGAACCGGTTTAAACCGGTAAGAACCGGCCGGTCGGACCGGTCCGCCCAATTTTTTTTTTTTTTCTTTTTGCTGATTTTTTCCAAAACATGTCTCCATGGGGGTTTGAACCCAAGACCTCTTAGACATTTGGTTAAGCTCCTAACCATCCAAGCAATGGTGTTTTTTGTTACAAGTTCACATAATCTTTTATAATATTTCATAATTACAAAAAAGATTGTATATAAATTCTTTTTCAATTTTATTAATATTATATAGCTATGAGTCAAACACAAAATCATTGATATTATTGATACTATTACAAAATGCAAATCATGCAAAGATTTCATTTTTTTAATATTAAACAACTTATTTGAAAAAAATAAAATCAACTCTTCATTTAAAATTCTTTTATATTTTTTTAATATGTAAATTTTATTTTTTAATTTTATAAAATAACTCAAGTATATTAATATAGTATTACTTAAATGTTATAAATTACTTTCTTTAGATATTTATAAATGAGAATGTGTGTGTCTATATGTATGTATGTATGTGT